TGTGGGTGATGCATTCAAAGATAACGAACATTGTCATGCCAGTGACAAGGGATCTCCTCGTGTTGGTGACTTCGCTTGTATGAAAGTTTAGATGCCCCTTGTTCAACAGTCTCAGCATAATCCACAGTAAGTCAGCAGTTTTTGTAGAATTAGATAATTTTTCACGCCTCATCAAAATTTTTATATCTTTTATAACTCACTTTACTACGGATATTCCGATATTTTTCGCAAATATATTTTTTTCATGCTCACGGACAATCCGCATACGAAAATCTAAACGTAAATTGAAACGAAAAATAACGATTTGAATCTCGTTATTTTGCGTATCGAATAGATATCGAATATTACGAATTCGGCTTTTTCCTTTGGAGTTGTTTCAGTTTTTCTGCAATTTTTCTCGGTTACCGGAAACTCATTATCAGCTTTAATGAGCAATTTGAAACCCAATTATTTTTAATGAATTCTGATGGAGGTTTTACTCAATAAGTTAATTATTAAACTCTAGATATTCAATTTTCCATAACAGAGATAATTAAATTTGTCTGATTCATTTATTCTTCTTTTTCGAAAAAGTGATGTATCAATTTTTATTTTTTAAGAGTTATACAAATATTAATTTTTTTATAGAATCAAGGAGCATAAATGTATTGAATATATTGTTACAGATTTCATTTATCGAATACAATGTTTTTACAGATGTTCCTAAATGATGCTTGGTAGTAATTCCAAAAATAATGTCATAGTCGTACGAAATTCTGAATTGTTGGGTTTGAAATTTAGCAACAAAAGAAGGCTTCTAACGAAATCTTCAATAGAAACCCCAACAAATAACCCCCCATTCTCCGATTACTTCTCAAGATATCAACTCGTTCTTTGAGAACCCTCATGCCCTGAAGGGGTGAATGTTCTCCAACTCGAATGTTCCACTTCTCACTCAGTAGACACCACAGAATTTGCTCCAACAATTCCCATTGTTTCAAACTCCAAGCCAATTCAACCCAGTCTAACCTATTTTTCCTCACCTCACTGATGCCCCTGATGCCATTATCAATGATACCACTCTGTAAGATTGAATCGCGATGCAGTTGAGGATTCAATGTCAAGAGATTGTATAGATGAGATGCTGCATCTCACGTGACTGCTTCCCTCAAATGTTTAAAAATTTTTTCTCCATTTTCTCGATTTTCATAATCACATAATTTATCTTATCTTATCTTATCATATCCCGCCTTATTGGAAGATGATAAATGGAGTTTGTATTGGTTAGCACTGTGGGGACAATATCAAATGGTCTTCGGCTGACGCCCCAGTACTGATATCAATGCAGATGGTGAATACCTCGTACATGAACGCATTCACCCTTTTATCCATTCCTTTTTCCCTTCATTTCCTTTTATCCTTTTACTGTGTTCGTTATCTTTTTGGCTCGGCGAGTAAATAGTGGCGGCCAACTGTGCCAAACCGCTTGGTCTCTTTCATATTGAACACGTGACACTTCCGGTATCGCTGGACACTGAATTTCCTGGTGTCATTTCAAATGAACTCTTGGAGGAGTTTATTAATGTAACTTTCGTGAGCATCTAAACGAAACTCATACTCTCGCCTATTCAACTGTGTCGTTTAGTGATTAAAGGAGAAACCTGGGGGCTATAGATAAGAAAACATGCGAGATTCATATCATTTTACTGAAAATTATTGCAAATTTCTCATTAGTCGATGTAGATGTCTGAGTTTTGCAATGGGAGTTACGATTCTTTATCACCAAGTTTTCCCAGCATTTGTTCATTTAAACGAACCGCGAATAATTATCTGATTCAACAGATCGAATTATTCGTTTTCGGTGCCACTATAGAAGTATTTATCTATGCAAAATAACACCATTTTGAAAGTTATATGTATTTTTGTTATTCGAGTTTATATCACCATGATCGTATTCAATTTATTCCGGGCGGTTAGTTTTGGTCGTAATCATAAAATTTCCCCTTCCGAATATGAAAAAGCGCATAAAAAGTGTCCAATGCCACTGCCGTCTTTTATAGTTACCGAAAGCTTAGGGGAGAGACGTTGGGGGATAAAACGAGAGGAGAATCGATACTCGATCATTAAAAAATTATAAAATTGATCGAATCCTCAAATTCACATCCTCAATTCCTCAAATCGCTATCACTCTAAATTCTCCTTTATAACTTCCACCCCAGAATGACTAATTGCCACTGCGTCCACTTAAATTCACTCGAGACACAGATTGACGAGATAAACATAATGTTTACCCTCCCCCACACCTCCCCCACACCTCCCAAATTCATTATTCACTTTATCAGGCAACTATTAAATTTAGCGAATATCGAACGACTATCCCGTGGAAAACAAAGCCAAAGGGATTTAATTAGCAATTCCAATATGAAATATAATTCCAGTTGAATTGACAACGCGAGAGCAAACGAGAAAATTCAATAGTAAAATTTTTATTTTTTCAATTATCCTTTATTGCCGGTGTATTTCTCAAGCTTTCAATTCACCTCTGACTTCAATCTTATTTCGTTTAATTTTAATTTATGCAACAGCTACGCGGAATCGGCAACAGCAGGTAAATGAAACGCTCATGTCCGATTATAAACCGCCATACACTATTTACCACTGATACGGTACATTAGTTGTTGAGTTATCAGCGGTTTCTCACACAAAGTGCGGCTTCAACCGCTGGAACAACCTCTGATACATGCACATTTTCTTGAAACGTATTTCATATCTCGTCGGCTCCTGTTTCTGCCCGATGTAGGTATAAAATTGAGAGGGGATTATAGTGGAATGCGTACGGTGTCACAGCTCGTTACGTGATATTGCAATGGATGGGGGGAGGGGGGTTGAATAAGAACAAAAGTGGAAAGTGAAATCTAAAGGTTTCACATAAAAAAAAAAAACACGCGGTTTACCCCTCGGTGATGAAGGCCGTGTTATGGAGCAGACAGCGGTGCGCTGGGGTTTTTTTTATGACGGGGTAAAAGGGTCGTGTGATTACTAGTGAAAGCTGATGGGAATTCAAAGGTTTAGGGCAAGGGATGAGTTTGAAAATTCAGCGAAACCAACGGGTAATGATTTTTTGGTGGGACGCTGCAGCTGGTATCGTACTCTGCGGTATCAAACAAATGTAAAATATTTCCCTTCATTATTTTTTAAACAATTGATGACAACGAAAATATCTCACACCATGAAGCATTTTATTCAACTTCACTTTTTTATAATTTATCATTGTTTGAGGCGATTCAATTAAAAACTTTTAGGGTACTCTCACGAGAATTGAAAGACATTGATGACTCAATTTCCATTTTGAAAAGCCTTAACGAAAATTGTTCTGTTATTCCTAAGGGCAGAAGTAAGTGGCTACTCAAGATTATGAGAAAAAAAAAAGTTATAATAACTCTGTGGGATCGTTAATAAGCCGGAGAATTCAACGGTGCTTATCTGAGGAATGCCCCAACGGCGGCTGCAGCCAACACTTGAGTCCCCCTCAAGGCGGGTATTTTATAGTACCGAGTTATTTCAATCCACGAAGAAGTACATGATTGATTAAATCTCGGTGCTGGGTTGTGTAAAGAAGAGCAATGGTTATGTATTATGGTGGGATGAAAAGCGTACATAGAAGTTGCTAGTGTCCGGTGGAGTAAACCATGTAATCGAATACGTCGCCTCAAATCTCTGTGATACGTCGCCGTGTTTTTGCTCAAACATGTCAGACATCAGGGCTTTTGGCGCGTCTTGAAAAGTAATTCCAGATTTTATGGACGTCAGTTTGAAAACTAAACCCCTTTTCAGGCATCTCCGGATCTTCCGCAAGAACATCCGATTTTCCGAGTTTCAAAAAACTTGTCATTTCCGGAATAGAGCAAAAAGGCTGGGATATTTTCGTCTTGACTTGTTGTGGAATGGAATTGATTGGAAATCATTGGAGAATTAATTCCCCAGTGAAGTCTGTAAATATGAGATAAATGATGAAGTCAGTGTGTACTTATCCCCTCATCTTCCAGACTCGGAGTCATCGGATAAATTCGCTTGAGAGCGCAGGAGACTCGCGACATGCTGTCCGCCATCGGAAGTAGGAATCACCGAGGTTAAAGAATTAAAAGCCAAAACCACGGACAATAACCACACGAGGGGAAATAAATTCCATCTATACAAGCGTGAAATGCATTCTTATTTATAAATATAAACGTGTTGTGGAGGATATATAAAGGAGAGAGCGACGAACAGAGTGAGATTCTAGATAAGGTGCTAAGGTACTTGAACACAATCGAATCCATAATCCCCAGGGGCGATTCACTCAGACTCTCGACCAACTCAGCTCTAACCCTACGATAGAATGAAAATATGGATGTATGGACTTCTCCGAGGGGAGAAATCGAAAGGTGTATCGAGATATCTACAACCTTCGGGGCGTGTTACAAGCTGGTGACTTTTTTATTCCTCAAACGCATTTTTCACATTATCGATATCTCCAACGCAGTCAATAACGTTAAGCATTATTTGATTTTTTAGTTACGGTATATAATAATGGGGTTATCTCCTTGATAATCACCACAACAGAGTCCTAGAATTTTTTTCTCACCGTCACCTCGCGTCCTTTGTCTATTTCCGTTAGGACTCTTCAGAAAAAAAAAGCTATATCAAGGAAATTAGACTATTGTGTCTATCAAATGGTGACGAAAAAAAATTGGTGGATCACCGGAAATGGGTCAAAGTTGGTGGGTCCTTCCAGTTCAATTGGTACGAAGGCAAAATAAAGGGTGACTATTTGAGAAGAGGGGAATAGCCTCGTCAGTATGCATTACCCAAAGGGGGAATGGTTTTTTCGTGTCATCGACACTCTGAGAGGCCGGGTTTATTGTTGAGAGGGTGAAGGACAACCATTTGACCTCAATATACAGAAAAAGGGAGGGTTTTTCTATATCTATCTGGCCCCCTGGATAGTTTGTATGATTTCAATCAAGCCGATGGAAACTTACCTTCGAGGTTCGCCATTGAGAATCGATAGCTGTCAATTCTGGGTGTATTTATGTCAGAGTTGAAGGGCCGAAGGGTTGCTGAGCTCACATTGTCCAAGCCCTGTAACAAACAATTATAATGAACTCTTAGAAATGTCTGATTATTGACAAATTGTGAATAAAGTTCCATTGTGAAGAGATATCGATTGTCTAACACAAAAGCTGAAGGATAATGGGAGAGAAGGTGAAAAGATTCACAGGATTAAAAGGAACCTTTCTTTTATAAAACTAAATAGACTTGTACATCATGTTAAGAGGGTTCCGGAGGATTTATTTTATGTAATTTGATGAATCTGATGAATCAATTCCTCATTTTGTGAGAAAGATTGTGTAGCCGTCGCTGATCTGAAGGCTGAAATATACCTTTCCCTCCCGCAATAAAGATGAAATTTTATAAAGCGAGACTCAAATTGCCTGCAAGTGCATCTCAGCTTTTTCTATGAGCATCTTTTCGCTTTCATCGTCAACCTCCAGACTTCCGTATCCGTTCGTATCCTACGGCACAAATCCGACAGCTCGGAAAAATGCGATTCGCACTTCACTCTCGGGCTCGTCAATTTTCTTGTGACGCTATGAGATATCCTTTTACGTGTAACAACGTATTCTATCCCCATACTCCAGCATATTCCCGAGGTGATTTGCCGACTTCCTGAAGATATACACCGAGTTTAACTGGATGCAGGTTGAACGATGGCTCAATAACCCCGAGGGGATTTTAGAATTTTGTAATAAAGTTGGAGGGCTTTACAACAGACGGAAGTTCATGAAATATTTATCACTTTGCATCTGACAAACTTCCATTTTCATTGAAAATTGAAAACCCTAAATGGACTTGAACGACTTGGGTTATTCCAATAACTATAATATTATTTTGACACGGATGACGAATGAATTTGGGCATCAAGCCAAAATCTGCTGTTGGCATGTAGCAGTCGGAAAAATTTCCGGTTCCGTTCGCTGTATTCAAATCTTTCATGACGAATTACATTTTCTAATGGAAGAAAAAATCGGAATGAATAAGTTGAACGATATTTCAACTAGTGCGGGTCAAATCTCAATTGATTTCACAGGATCTCAGATTGTGAGCAAGCCAACAAAAAGCTGCGATAAAATGGTACCAAGGATCCCGTACGGATATGGAGAAGACCGTTAATTCATCAATCTGGCGGATGAAAAATGGTCACGATGCGAATAACCATTAATCCTGAGAAAAATTCTCAACTGTCCCCAATAATTCCAACGTTTTCGTCCCTCCGGCAAACAAGCACGCTTAAAATTGAACAATATATCGGACCTGGATATCTCAACACACGTAGCTTCCGCATCTTGTCCCATTAGCCATGAATAATACGCCTTGTCACCCCGATGAGCCTCGAGCAATCACGGTCGAATGGTCAATCGTAGAGCGAAGTGGAAGAGGTTGTTCACAGAGTCGCGTGGCCACTTGTTCTTGTCCTCACATATTACCCTTCTCTGTCCTCTTCCCCTCTGAGTATCATTAGAAACCCTTCATGCATGGACACGGTGTCTGCATGCAAGTGAAGATGATATAATGTACCAGGAGAGCAGATCGCCACAAGACAATGACCCGGATCGCATATTCAAAGGGTTCAACATCCAAGGAATGCGCCTCTAGTCCGGCATCAACTGAATATAGTAAAGAGTTCATGGGAATTATTAAAAAGTTGTTCAATCAACACTGGCAAAAGTATTTTGATAATTTGTTAAGCCCAACACGATTGATGAATTGGGAGATTTTATCTCAAAGTTTTCACTAATTATTCCATTAGTTTCCTACGTCAATTAAAGGATCTCGCCTAGTCAAATTGAATCGCCATTTCCTTCACATTAATTCTCCACTTTACGACGGCATCCAGAAAAATTGAAAACAACTCCTTATGTACGATATATCACAGCCCTATGTACCCTCCATCTTTACAATCAGCGGTCGACTGAATCTACGAACACGTTTGCAATCTCGATTACTCTCCCGATATTATTCTCTTCCTCAACAATTCTTACTACAATTCCAGGCCAACCATACCAGCCAACAGTGCGTGAAGTACTTATCGGAACGGATGGTGTAAACACATCGAGTATATAACAGGAACTGGAGTACCAACATTTCAATAAAAAAAAAAGTGAAAGACTGTAATGCAATGTAATGTCCAAACGCAAAGTATACTTTGTTTCCAGGAATAACATGAAAGTCTGGCGAAGCCATTAGCGTTTATAGGATTGCTACAGCAATGCCAATTTTCATTTTCATAAAAAAAATCCAAGTTTTACTGCCATTGTCGCAGGGACAAAATCGGGTAGCGGTTTATAATCCAGAATCAAATAAAATGCATACAACTTTTCCCGGTGAATTTCAGAGTTACCTTTTCCCCATAAATTCACGAAGCGTTTGTTCTTGTCTGATAGCAGAGAAGGATTCATAATCCAGGCGTATGTACGTGACCACCAGGAATATATCCAGTGTACACTTTTCTAAAGACCGTTATAACATGGGATACGGTGTAAAATGTAAAGAAGAGTATTACTGAAATGTAGGGGGATTTTTAGAGGGAATGAGGGGTATTGAGAGGAAACTCAGTTACACGAGGATTGATGGTGAGGGAAATCACATAATCCTGGTATATTTCGTAACCGCGTATGTTATCATCCTGGGTTATTTTAACGTGATATCTTGTAGGCGGACACCTTTGGTGAACAAGGTAGAAAGGTAACACGTGCCAATACAAGAAATCTCTAGATTTAATGCAATAGTGTGGATGTATTCTTTTATTACTGCTGAGCAACTGATCCTGATGTTTCTGCAGGCTGTGTCCGTTAGTGGTGGTGGTTGTATTGATTATTTTGCCAGAACTTTGATTGATGGTGTTAAGTTTTCCGAGGGATTAAGTTTAGGTGTTGTTTCGACTTCATGGAAACTCGTTCCTTCTTCATTTCAGCAGCTCCTGCAACTTCTGGATTCATCAGCTGTTAGTGAACCAGAAATTCTATCAAGACCTACATTTATACCGAAGATATATTTCGCTTTGAGTCTTGAGTCTAAGGGAATACCAAATGCTATGGCGCTTTCACAAGATTCGTTCATTGTTTTAAAGTTTATTGCTATCTGCAGCCTATGGTTAAATTGAAAATTTAATGGAATTCACTTCTTATTCGATTTCCCTCCGATTGCGATATGGAAATCAAGAGTTGCAAAGATTGTCTGAATGATTTTCGATAACGAAAGCTGGAGGTATTCCCGTTTCTTTCCACAGTAATCTTCTTCCAATTGATCGGTTTCCAGACAATCAAGGAAAAGTTTCTTCCTTCGAAAATATATAACAGTGAAATGGGCTCGTCTGCATCGCTTTGAATTCGAAATTTTCCCATTTATCCCATGAACACTTAATCCCTATTGAGTACTGCACGTTCTTTGAGTTTGTAAAAACTTGAGGCCCACGGATTGGCGTTTCGGTTAATGTGAAGTCCCACAAGTCCGAGGTGATGCATAATAAATTCAGTTAAGGATTAGAATACTCGTGCAGTTGAGAGTTAAGCATGGAAGTGATTCTGCGTGGGAGTCAGTTGGGAATACGAGGTAAAAGCACTGGGCCAAACCAGGCACAACAATTAGATCCAAGCGGATAAGCTGACTCTTCCGGTAATGCGAACCCCGTGAACATTACACAAAGAGAGTACATTTTTTGCTCTTCTACATGATCGGCGTAGTGGTGTATCTCGTATAAAGTTGATAAGAATAAAAAGTATAAGAGATATTTATACCGTCTTAAAGGTTTCTGAACCATAATCCATGGAGAGCTGCCACAAAGTGGTTCTGAGCCCTTTTTCCACACATACCGCGATATTGTTTTCTCCCTTCCGTCACGTTTATATACCCGAGGGTTTGGAAGCACTCGCCGAGACCAGAATCTGTGATTAACACACGAGGAAGTCTGAAACGTGACCGAAGCGTTGATTTTGGCTGAGTGAACGCTTTAACACTTGTCATTTCGTTTTGAGGAGTTGTAGACTTTTAAAATCATATTCCCCAGGATTTACAGGATTCAAGGGAATCCCTACGATCGCACACAGGGTTTGTTATACCTCGGAAATAATATTCAAATTTTAGGGGGTTTTTATCGGTTTGCAAAAGTTCTCATTTTTCTTTTCATTTTTCTTCTCATTTTTCTTCTCATTTTTCTTCTCATTTTTCCCGGCTTTTTTTTACTGGCAGAGCTTGAAGTACTATTTTTTTATTTAACGTTTGTTTATCTAAAAACTTCCAGCTCAACTGCACCCCCGAGTTAGGTTTTAATGAAGTTTACGATACCTATAGAATGCGGTGAGGTTAACACATACCGGGGCAATCTAGCGTGTGGTTCAAAGCAAATGTTTATGCACCGGAGGCGAAAACACTGTCGCTGGAGCAAATGGAGATGGGGGTTGGTTACATAATATCGCAATCTGGAAGCCCTTGGCAGGATGAAGATTTAATTTTTTATACGTGATGGTGAAGTACTGGTCCGACGTATGAATCATGCGGTAAGAACGAGAGGGAGTTGAAAAGGTCTTACTCTTGACTTCTGCCAATTTCCCTTTTTGTTTCTCCCCCTTCTGCCAGTTCTCGTGGGAATGGGACATTTTCACGGAGACGATTTGGAGCAGAACTCCTTCACTCGGGGGAGGGAAAAAAAGAGACGAGACCGGTAATTCAATTTTTTCAACGTCCTTGGAGGGTTGTAATAAAAGGAGAACGATGTAAACATCACGTTAAATGGGATAATCAAAATTCTGATGGAAAAGGGAGAATTAAGGGGCACTTTGAGAAATACTTTGATATTCCCAGTGGCCGCTGGACAGAGGGAGTTTCAATCCCCGAAAATTACTCAGGGATTTAGCGAGATTTCTCTTCACATTTGAAGAAATCTCGACAATGGCTCCATTAGTCCCATTAATTAATGATTTGACCACTGAAATTTTAAACTTCTTTGATAATATGAGTGAGTAGAATAGGAGAATTTCATAGCGACAATTGAAACTTCGAATGTCAACGAAGAGTTTTCAAAT